ATATATATATATATATATATATATAATGTAAGTTCGTTGTATGCGTTTTCCCACTACCGGCAAGTAGTTATCTTCTCTTTCTCCAGACGTTTGTAACATTCTGGGACAGCCTGTATTACGCGGGAGCCGAAAATTTCTCGCTTTTAATTGTCGCTAACCGAGTTTTGTTGGTACTCTCATTCATCATTCAGCCATGTATTGTAAAAGGGTATTATAGGGATAGTGCTCAAGAAAACGCGCGGCGACTTCACTTCCGTTCGTCACATACTGGTTTTATTGTTTGCGACGAAAATAAATTAAACCTAATCTTTTCCAAAAAGTAACACGAACACACTGTTTAAGAACAGATAAAGTACTCTCATAAAATACTGCACCAATTTAAATATTTTAACAAAAACAGTCTTCACCAATAAGGAAACGCAATACGGAATTCTCATTGGAAATCAGTAATGTAGGTGTTTTTGGATTTTTCTAAGAACAGTAGACCTATTTTACTTGGCCGCGAGGTGCTGCAGTGTTCTTTAAACTTCTAGACGCATTGAAAACTAGTAATATAGATGATCTTTTTCCCTGATATTCTGGGTATCTAACGAAATCATAAACACTCCTCAAAAGGACGGGGTCTGCATAGATATATTTCAGTTTCTGTGCGCGTTGGAAACTAGTAATATAATATACGAATCTAATAAATGGAAGAGTTGCTCTGGAAATCCCATTAAGAATATTTGTAGTTCGGGGTTTTTCGTCTCCCCTGTAATGTACTAGGCAATCTTGTTTGCATCTGCTATCATCAGACCCTTAGAGGAAGGGCTCTGGGAGGTGTCCCTTCAAAAGATAATCCGGTGCGAATCATTTCCTCGTTACGTTGCTTGGTACTTAAAATTGTTACCGTCACAGTTTAAAAATTATCAGTATGTGAGATCAGGGTATGCATGGCCCGTTGAGTTGAAAATGTTTCAACATTTGCTATAATTGCCGTTTAAAAGATCGTGGTGTGTGTAGTCTGGAATGTTCTGTCAAACTTTCACTTTTTGATCTTCCCCTGAAAGAAAAGTCTGGGCATGGCACTGAATCCTGCCTAAATTTCGACAATGAGCACTTGAACAGGGCGATATTTCCCAATGAATCTCATAAGTGTAAGCATTGCAATCATAATTAAGAGTGTAGTGCTGAGTTAATGGGGACGTGTTTCACGTGCGATTCTTATTATACGCGCGACTAGGTTCCTCAGGCTCATAGGAAGCTGACGAGATTGATGTACAGTTGAAAGTCTTTAATTCGAACAACTAAAAGTGTCCACATTTATAAGTAACATTAATTTTTCGAAGAAAAACTCATTTGAGTAAAAAAAAATAAACACGAAGTAACTAAGAATATATGAAGCAATGACTATGCTCGATTGAACGAAATCTTTGTAACTCGCAAATATTCGAAGAGTGGTTGCAAGACACGTGCGGAATCGTGACTACGGAGACAGTAGGAAAAGATAAGGTGGCTGGTAAAGAGTGAACTCATTGCATGTTGACCTAGCTGAAGAACCCCGCGTTGCCCGGGCTATTTACCATAATAATTTATTAGACAGGAAGAGGAATTCCATACATTTCCGACCTGCGGCAGAACCTTCTGACTATTCTTTTGTATCTCCGGTCTGCCCTGCCCCGCCTGTCTCTGCCTTGCTCCCATCAAGATAAATCCGGTCTGCTTCACTCCCTTTAAATCAACCTTGGAAAAAAAGCCTTGGCCCCCGTTTAATTTCTTCAAATACCAATTTCCCATTACTATTTTAATTCAATTATACATCTTCTTGCCGAACTTGCTCTTATCAATATAAATAATCGTTCATTCACTACTCAAAGGTACACTTTCGCTGTCCACTACTATAAAAAAATTCCCTTCAAAAATTCACCCGTCCTGCACAGTGTCAGCATTGCACGAAAATCATTCACAATATGTTTCACTTTCGGT